GAATGTTTGTAAAAATTCAATCTTCAAAACCCCTCAGCTCTGTCTTCATCTTGCCTCCATTCAACTTGGGCTGAAATCGTCAAGGATTTCTTCAGCAAGCTGCTGAAGAAATGCATGACACTCCCACACTTGGGTGAGTTCTTATCAAGATTAAAGAACCTCTTGTCTCATTTCTCTGCATATCTGAGAAATCAAACCATGAGACTGCAGACTACAGCACATTCCAAAGTGGCATGCTAGCCATAGCGTCCTTCTCGGTGTTGGTTTTTAAAAGGCAATGGTAACTAACTCTTATGAAAAGCTTACCGTCTATCAGCCCTTCTCTTAATGCTTTGTGTGTGCTATTTTATTTAATACTCCACCTGGGTTCACAGGTAGCATTACCATCTCCATGAACTGGGCATCTCATCTCCTGACTGGACACTGCGGACAGCTACCTCGGCTCCACCCCACCCTCCCACCCTACTGGACTGTCTTTGCTCTTCACTGTCTCAAGGAAGTCTCCATTCAGATTTGAACCTACAAACCCTTCAACACACAAAATAAAGGTGTGCACGCCCCCAGCTACACATGTGTGTGTGTGCACACGCACATTTGAGGTGGGCTACATAACTGCCAAGCCCAAACATGCCTATGGCTTGTGATCTCTCTAGTTAAAGAACCTGGAAGCAGGGCACTTTACATATAAAATTAAGTTAAAAATCTTAGCATGGGGCAGGGATCATAGCAGATTTTTCAAGTGGTTCCAATGTAATCACAGGTCTTCCAAGAACACGGGAGTCTTGTGTGGAAGGAGTGGCACTTGAGAGAGGGGAGAGAACAAGAAGGGAGAGTGGCTGGCTTTGAAGACACAAGAAGGGCATGTGGTGGTTTGGATGACAAAGGTCTCTATGAGCTACTATCTGAAAGCTGAGGTAGTGCCATTAGGAGGTGTGGCCTTGTTGGAGCAGGTGTGTCACAGGAGGGTGGGCTTTGGAGTTTCAAATGCTCAAGCAAGGCCCAGTGTCTCTCTCTCTTCCTGCTTCATGAGGATCCAGATGTAGAACTCTGCTCCTTCTCCAGCACCATGTCTGTCTGCACGCTGCCATGCTACCCTCTGTGGTGAAAATGGGCTGAATCCCCGGACTGTAATTACAGTCAGCCCCAGTTAAATGCTTCCCCCAAACATGCCTATGGCTTGTGATCTCTCTAGTTAAAGAACCTGGAAGCAGGGCACTTTACATATAAAATTAAGTTAAAAATCTTAGCATGGGGCAGGGATCATAGCAGATTTTTCAAGTGGTTCCAATGTAATCACAGGTCTTCCAAGAACACGGGAGTCTTGTGTGGAAGGAGTGGCACTTGAGAGAGGGGAGAGAACAAGAAGGGAGAGTGGCTGGCTTTGAAGACACAAGAAGGGCATGTGGTGGTTTGGATGACAAAGGTCTCTATGAGCTACTATCTGAAAGCTGAGGTAGTGCCATTAGGAGGTGTGGCCTTGTTGGAGCAGGTGTGTCACAGGAGGGTGGGCTTTGGAGTTTAAAATGAGCAAGCAAGGCCCAGTGTCTCTCTCTCTTCCTGCTTCATGAGGATCCAGATGTAGAACTCTGCTCCTTCTCCAGCACCATGTCTGTCTGCACGCTGCCATGCTACCCTCTGTGGTGAAAATGGGCTGAATCCCCGGACTGTAATTACAGTCAGCCCCAGTTAAATGCTTCCCTTTGTAAGAGTTGCTGTGGTCATGGTGTCTCTTCACAGCAAAAGAAACCCTAACTAAGATGGGGCCCATGAGACAAGGCATGCAAAGGCCTCTAGAAGACACACAGGACTAGGAAATGAATACAGCCAACAGCCTCCAGAGGGCATGTACCCCTGCCTTGTCCTGATGTTAACCTTTCACCCCACATGTGTGTGATGGTGAATTTGGACATTTTTAGACACTGCGGTGTCAGTGAACCGGGAAGTAAGACAATTATGAAGGACCTGCCTGTTGCCCAACCACTGAACCAGTTTTCCCCTGCAACCCCTCCTGAGTGGTGGAGGAGTCTCTCTGGTCAGCATGTTCCCCAGCACTACCTCACACAGGCTTAGTCGCTCTGCTCCCATCCACCAGCAAAGATCACTAAGCATCAGGTATTTAAGAAGCCAGTGGACTCCGGGGCAACCTGTGCTGTCTGGAGACGCTTGAATCTCCCACACTGTCCCCTACAACTCCCTGGGGCAATGTGTCAGCAACTTCAAACACAGAAGAAGTTGGCTTAAAGCAAAGAGTCTTACACTCATATTTCTGTCTTACTTTGTTCTTGGGAGATGTGGGAATCAGCAGGATAAGTAAGAGCTCGGCTGCTCAATAATCCTTCTGACAATGTTTCCTTGTATACTTGCGCACGCACACGCACACACACACACACACACACACACACACACACACACACACACACACACCCCTCTAATATTTTCTTAGAGGTTTATCTGACTCTACTTGTCTGGGGTGCTGTGTTGGCTAACCCAGGCTGTCAACTTGACACACCAGGGAAGAACCCTAAGTTGAAGAATTCCCTCCACCAGATTGGCCCATGGGCTCTTGTGGGTGGGGCGTTTTCTTGATTGCTAATTGATGTGGAAGGGCCCCGCCCACTGTAGCTGACACCATCGAAAGGCAGCAGACCAGGATATATAAGAGAGGTAGCTAGCTGTGCAAGCCGGAGAGAGCAAGGCAGTAAGCAGACTTCCTCCATGGTCTCTACATCAGTTTCTGGCTTCTGCCTTGGTGCTCCTCCATGACGGGCTGTAAACCCTTTCTTCACTCAGGTTGTTTTTCGGTCAGTGCTTCATCACAGCGCCAAATAAGGAAGGTGGATCTCTCTCTCTCTCTCTCTCTCTCTCTCTCTCTCCCTCTCTCCCTCCCTGTAATGTTTGCATGGTTGTTTTGTCTATATGTGTCTCTGTGACCATGTGTGTGCCTGGTGCCCTCAGAGGCCAGAAAAGAGCATTGGATCTCCTGGAGTTACAGATAGTCATGAGCAGTCATGTGTGTGCTGGGAGAGCAGTCAGGGCTCTTAACCACAGAGCATCTCTCCAGCCACTACATTGCTTTATTTTTCTAATGTGTGCTATAGACATAAGTATGTGCATGCATGTGTGGTGTCGAAGGCGGGGCTTAAAAGAGTCCATGCATGTTTGCCCGCGTGTGAACTACTGGGGTTTTCTAGACAAAAGAAAAGGAAGGAGGGAGTAGGGAGGCTGACGTAGTAGCGTGAGGAGGATGGGGTAGGGAGAACAGGCGATTAATTTCAGAGCCAGCAGCTTGGAAGACACTAAAACACTCTCACCTGCTGAGACCAGGGTCCCCATGTTTCTCCTTCCTTCTTTTAGAACATTCGGTATTGATCTGCTCTGTCAAACTGGAAGGCTTGTCGAGAAAACTATGTTGACCTAATTGTTCTGCTTGGTGACCTAGTTCATCCGTGAAGTCGGCTAAGTGTCAGCACTGCACTGAGGGCCACAGGAGAACGACTGCAGATCCTGAAAACGCCCATAACTTATACTCAAATGTGTAAGGTCTCCTTCAATCTTACGTGAAAAAAAAATTGCTAAAATTACACTGGTCACATTTATCTTAATTATTTGTTGTCCAAATATAGTTTTAAATAGTGCGACTAAAGCAGAAAGCATTTTGATTAGTAAATACTCAATTCTATCAGGATGTGGGGGGGGTGTGCGCGCGCGCGTGTGCGTGTGCGTGCAACTGTAGGTGTTGCACCACCAGTTCCAGCCATGTGTTTTGAGCAGGGTCTCTCACCTGTCTAGAACTAACCCAGGAGGCCAGGTTGTCTGGCCAGGGATCCCTATGCTTCCCCAGCTCTGGAATTACAAATGTTTGCCACCATGCCCAGCTTTTCACATTGGTTCTGGGAGCTGAACTCAGGTGCCAATACTTGGGTGGCAAGAACTATAGCAACAGAGCCATGCTACCAGGTTGATGCAGGGTTTGGAAGCAAAGCCCTCCCTGCTGACAACCAATGTTGCACTCCATTTCATTTTTAAAAGACATGCTAAGAAAACAAGATCCAATCACCCTAGACTTTCAGGGATTAGAAAGCACGTGTCTCTACTAACAAAAACCAAACCTTTACAGTTTTAAAATACCAGAGGATTAGCAATTTTTTTGGAAATACTCCACAAATACAACAAGGTACTTTTATAGAAAATTGGTTTGGTGCTTAACATAAAAGTAGGTAGCTACCCTTCAAAAAGAAGAGAAAAACTTTTCAAGATTTCTATTTTATATTTAAGCCTATCACTGTGGGTATTAGAACACGGCTGGCTACCATTTAATGAGCACCAGAACTGTCAATTTTAATAACTGCATGACAATCTGTAAGTTGGTATGTCTCTGAATATCAACTATGCACCTGTTAATACAGCTAAAAATAGAGACCAGCTATTCCCCGTATTTAGAGCAATAGTGTTATCTTACAATACTTGACACAATACTATCAAAAATGACATAAGCATAATTCTGACTTAAAAACACGAGCCAACGTGCACAGACACTCTCCACCAGCTGTTGCACCTTAAGCAAAATCTAAACACTGCATTCCAATCACTCATCATCTCACAAGGTCATTTGGAGATCTGGGTGTGGAGCTTGGTGGTCAGCTGAGCACCCGAGCACCACACGCAGAGGACCTGGGTTTAATTCCCAGGACCACAAAGAAAGTCTTTAAGCCAAACAGTCTGCCAGAACCCAAAGACTATGACACGAACATCCAAGACAGACTGCAGAGCACTGGCTAAGACGCACATTTGATCCACTGTGATCTAAGTGTCCCTCAGTTCAACACAGGACATGAATAACGTGGCTAACATGAATAACACCCACTTATCATACAGCCAGTAAGAAGCACTTGTACAACGGCCTATTGAAATCCAGACTTAATCCTTTCACGGTATTTCAAATGCAAAATGGAGAAGAAAGGAAACAAGTCTACTTCCGAGTACTGAAAGTTAAGGGATACCTCTTCCACGAAGCTGTCTTTCTTCTCCAGCATCTCCCGTAAGGTCTGGAGGATTTTAATGCACAGTTTTTCTTCTTTCTCCATTAGTTTCTTTGTGTGATTAATCAGCCTGAAAGCAAAACATGAAACCTTAAAAGGGACACCAATTTCTCATCCAAACGTACACGGTATGCTGCGTGGGAGTGGGGGACAGTGCTGAAGGCACAAGGTAAATCAGACACGTAATGCCAAAGGTCTCTAAAGCTTGTAGACCTCGCTGCGGTGTTTATGTATCTCAGTGCTGCCCGGCCTCAGCGAGCTCTTTGGGGGGCTATGACACTCTGGGAAACAGGGAAACACCAATGTTCCCCTTTGCTAGTTTAAAAAGATTTAAAGCATACTTTACGTCATCATGTCATTTATTATTTTCTATTCATTGTATCACATTAATTGGAATATCATGGATGTAGGTGATACCACAGTTTAGTGGGCTTTCCCCCATTCTCTCGGTAACGCCATGTATGATACGGTATTGCTTGGTAGATGTGAGCGGCTGCTGCGATTAGAAGGGACAAGTGTAGCATCAAGACAGCTTGACCATTGCTGTAACTCAGACACAGGAACGGCTCCTTCCCCGACTGTGTTGAAGCACGCAGTGTGGCTCTCGAAGACTTTCAGTACCGTGGGTGGAGCCATCCTGAGAGTCAGTATCAAGTGGAACGTTTATGATTAGGATATGTAACTCAGTTCCCATAGACTGGGTTGTTAAGAAACTGACCCTCCCCTGACCCTGTGAGACACGTCTTCCTAGAGGAACAGCGTGATGCAGACCAAAGGGAATTATGGTTTCCCGTGACACGGCAAGAGCAGCATGGGTTTATAAGTCTCCATTTAGAGTGAGTGCCACGGGATGTCACTGAGAAGCCATTTCCTCTGGCTGATGACCAGCTAATGTCCTCAGCCATCAGGGTGGAGGACCTCCTCACTGCTCATCCTCTCCACAAGCCACAATCGGGCTACATAACTGTTTGCTGAGGAGAAAGGAGCCTCTCACAGATAACACAATTTGCTTCCAGTTACACAGTCCTAATGAGGAAAGCAGGAAATAGATTTCCTAGCCCAATCCCCTGTAAGTGCTGCCATTCACCAAACAATCTCTGGGGCTTCAGGACACAGTCCTGCACACAACAGGCTGAACATAGCCATCTGACATGACGAGAGCTACTAAAATGTAAACAGAGGTACTGGCAAAAAAAAAAAAAAAAAAAAAAAAAAAAAAAAAAAAAAAAAGCTTTATTCTGTTGTGGTAATTTCCTGATGCTGGTAAGAAAGAGAAGGCATCAACAAAGACACAGCACTTGAGTGATGGGGATGTCTTCTGTATATATGTTTCTCTTATTGGTTGATGAATAAAACACTGATTGGCTGATTGGCCAGGCAGGAAGTATAGGGGGGACTAGGAGATGAAGAGAATTCTGGGAAACGTAGGCAGATGGAGTCGCCATGTGAGCCCTGGAAGAGAGGATGTACCAGGCTTTCTCGGGTAAGCCAAGACCATGGGGAAATACACGGATGAATAGAAATGGGTTAATAATTGAGGCAGAGCTAGCCAATAAGAATCTCTAGTCACTGGCCAAAATTTTATAATTAATATAGCATCTGTGTGTTATTTGGGAGCTAAAGCAGTTGTGGGAGAAGGCCGGACAAAAATCTCTTGTAACACTTGAGTTAGAAGATGTTGGACGGGGGAAGGGCAAGAAATCAACTCTGACCAGGAGGCAATGTAGACAAACCACGCAGGTGGGAGGCTGGAAGCCATGTCAAAAAAATGGTAAATAAATAAAGAAGGGGTGGAGCTTGGACTAAAGAGCCTTGAGTGTGGGTCTGACATGGGGGATACCAGAGTGTGTGCACACTGTCCCAGAAATTGTCCTCACTGTGCGAGAGGTACTTTGTTTTTTTTTTTTTTTTATTTTTTCCTAAGCCGTGTCTTTATATTAGCCTCTGCCGACACAGACTTGATTTCCATCCGTGGGTCTCCATTCCAACGTCTAAAAAACACAGATTCTCTTTCACAAGAGCAGATGAGGATTTAAGTGGACCTAAACCAGCTGCCTGGCAGGTGACTGGACCGATTCTCTCATCCCACAGCATGTGACTCAGCAGAGTCCAAGTCCTTCCCTGAGGCTGTCCCCACCCACTCCTGTGAGCCCATCCGGTCTCTGGAGGAAGGAGGGAAACTGATTCCACTTTGCTGTGGCTTCATTGGCGTGCCGGGCACAGCAGTGCCAGGGTGTGGCGTGGCTAGTAACAGAACTGAGTTCTAGGTTTCTAGCTATGCTTGCAAATGACACTCTTGGCTCTTCAGAGAGATGGGCAGGGTGGGGTTAGCAGGGACAATAGTCAAGCTAAGACTCTGGCCATGCACTCTGCCTGGTTCAGAGGGAACCAGAACTGATACACTGCAGCTTCTTTAGTCAGTTCCCGCCCTCACCCTCACCGTCACCCTCACAGTCTAGACCTCTGCTATCCAGCAGGACTCTAGTGTAGAACTGGTAGATATTAGCCACGTAGAGCCATGGAGTGTTAGAGCTGTAACTGAGGGGGTGGGGTGGTATCTCATTTTAACCCATCTAAATTTTAATTAATGTGACTTTGTGTGGGTCATCTGTCCAGGGAGTTTTCTGGCAAGGATCAGAAGGTGGGTGTTCTGGACTGCTGCAGCCCTCTCTCTTCCACCAGAAAGGTCCCTGGTCTGGCTCCACTTACTTTGACATAAAGGCGCCACATCTTATCCTGGCATCGCTCCCCTCCGGGAACAGCAGCTCCGGACTGTAGAGCACGTCGACTAGCACGGAGAACTCGGCCTGCATCATGGGGCTGAACTGCTGCTCCAGGGATGCGACGACATCCTGAGACAAGGCACAGAGGACCCACATGAGTGCCTCTCAAGATGGGGCTCGCGTAAGGACATTAACCAGAAAGGAGACGCGGCCGTTCTGTGCCAGATGAACCCTGGCTTCCCACAACACCAAATGTTTGCTGTTTACACTCAACACAATCTGGTTTCATTCATTCATATTCTCTCTGTGTGTCTCTCTCTGTCTGTGTCTCTCTGTCTCTGTGTATGTATATGTGTGTGTGTTAAAGATTTTTTAAACTATGTACATACGAGGGGAAGGGTATATAGACATGAGTGTGGGTACCCAGAAGAGGGTGTCAGACGCCCTGAAGCTGAATTCTCGGGCAGTTGTGAGTGGCCTGGGATCCAAACTCACATTCTCTGGGGAGCAGTGTAAGCTCTTAACCCCTGGGCTGTCTCCAGCCTTACACATTCTTTTAAATCAATTCACAAGGTAATGGATTGGTAGGTAACAGTCAGGCTTCTGAGAGTACATGAGTAAGAGGGAGAAACAGTGAAACCACTTCACACACTGTGTAAGGAGACAACTTGGAGTGGACCAGGGGTGCATATGAGCAACCGCTAAACATTTCCTATGTGTCCCTGGTCACCCAGAGCTAAGCATCTTGTCCAGTAGAAACACTCACTGATATGTTACTCAAAGATATGAGCTTACTGTGCATGGTTTAAGGACATTCAATACTATTTCAAATTATATTTATTGATAGGTCTGATTGGCCACATGTCTAACAGTTTCTTTTCATCCCATCCTTGCTAAAAAGGAATCTGGGTGCTATTTCCGAATCAGGCGAAAATACTCTCACGGAGATGAGCCCCCTCACTCAGCATCAAGGCTGAGGGCTTATAATGGCCAGGGTCACTCTACTTTGTCTGAGGAGAACATTGCACAGCCCTGACCAGGGAGACATGTTAAGTCCTAAGTAGAAAGCCAAGATCTATTCAGCTCTACAAACCTTGCCTAGAGATCTAGCCAATGGGTAGACACGATGCCAGGTTCCTAAGAGACCCAACATGCTTCGTTTTCCAGGCCTCCAATCATCCTCCTGATGACAGTTAAAAGGACAAAGATTCTGTAAAGGGGCATGTTCGTCATACAAAGGGGTGACGCTTATCAGAGATGGCCAAGCTCTGGTGAAACCAGTCTGATTTATTATCTATTAACTTCCGCCATTGGACAAGCGACACTCTGACTTGAGGTGAAGTCCTCCTTCCCTCTGAGAATCAGAATTGCCCCACATGACATCATGACACCAGTACCATCTAGGTTTGCTGCGGGATTTAAAGCAAGTTCTAAGGACAATCCTTGATGCACACTGCCCCCTTCATTTCAGATGGCAGCCCCATTATTACAGAGCATGCATGAGTCATGAATATCACCTTCCTATTACATGGGTGGCCTCTTTTCCACCCCAATCTAACTGCTCTACATGGGACACACCTTTCCATGGCCACCTTCCCCTGGATTCTGTGACACCATACTTAATTTTCCGCTGGAGTCCTGACCCTTCACTAAGCCCTGTTGGATCATGGTCCTTTTCCTGCTCCAGCTACGTCTCCTGCTGAGACTGCTCATCCAGCTCTGTGGGCTCTCCCTCTTTGTGCACGCTAGAACACCCAGGGTTGATATTTCCACACCTCTCCAGACTCACACACCCAGCTATCTGGCCGGCAGCCCTACTTCGGCATCAGCAGAGGCATCTCAAACTTAGAATCCCCCAACAGACCTCCAATTCTAAGTCCCCACAAGCTTCCTCTCTCCCACTGTCTCCTGCCTTAGCCCAGGATAAACTCACATCTAACTAGGGGTGATCCTTGACCCCTCTTTCCATGGCCCCACAATTCACCCACCCATCTACCAGAAAACACGTCCCGAAAACTATCTGCTTCTCTCCAACGCAGTTTCTGCCTTATTTGTTTAAGATTTTGTTTTTAATTGTGTCTGTCTGTCTGTCTGTCTCTGTATGTGGGCACATCTGTGTGCAGGTGCCCATGGAGGCCAGAGGTGCTGTCTCCCATGGAGCTGAAGTTGCAATTGGTGGGAGCCACCCAAGGTTAAGTGCTGAGTCGGACTCTGGTCCTCAGCAGGAGAGGAGCACAGTCCCCCTCTGCAGGAATCCCCATTCCTATCACATTTACAATGGATTCCAAATATCATGCCAGGGTGTACAACAAATGCCATGAGCTGAATGGCTTACAGATGACAGTTTGGTTTTCACAACTTGGGAGTTAGGAATCCAAGAATAAGAAATTAGCAGTTTTTATGCCTATTTCTTGGTTCATGCAGGGTCCATGTCACAGTGTCCCCATGTGGTAGAAAGGACAAACACACCACTTTCAGGCTACAGTATAAGGGAACTAACCACATTCATGGGGCCCACCTGTAAGAACTAATTACCCCCAAATCTAACCTCAGAATACAGTCACATGTGACTTAACCTGGAGACAAGACCTACTAACATAGCATGAGGGCAAAATGAGTTCACATGAGCCACCAGGGTGGTGGTCACACAAGGGACAGAAATGGGGACACAGGTGTACATCTGCACAGAGGAAAGACCCAGGAGAAGCAGGCCCTCCACAGTCGGGAATGGCAGTTTCAGAGGAAACCAAACCACACTGATACCAAGATCGGAGACTCCCACCTCCAGAGACATAAGAGAATACATTTCTGCCATTTGAAGAATCCTGCCTATGGTGTTTTGTTGTGGCTGTCCCAGAAAATGAAAGCCACATGTCATTGGCTCACTGATCCTAAACATACAGGCCAGACTACGGATGAAGACTTGCAAAAGGGCCACACAAGGACCTGGTGAAGAGAAGGACGGGCTGATTTTGGCCCAAGGGATATAAGGGAACACACCTGAAGATAAACTGGGTCAACACTATTAAAACCTAATTTATCACATGTGTCTTTTACAGTAGGTTATTTTTACTAACTTTATTACTGACATTATAATTGTCTTGCGATCAATGGCCACTACTCACTCAGAAACCACCAGAACATGTTGTTATATAACTCATTAAGAAGTAAGTCAGGACAATCTGTCCATAAACTGCTAACGAGGAGGTGGTGGCAGAGAGCTACAGAAGAAAGCTTTGCCCCAGGAAGAACTGGATATTTTCAACCATATTGTATCACATGACACATTTCAATGATACAGAAGCTAGAAAAGAGTAATGTCTCTTAATGTCCTCATTGTACCTGTAACTTCTCGATAATGTTTCTGTAATCCCATGCTGGCCCTCCAAGAGCTTCCTTGAACCGAGGTCCAGATCGAGCTGAGAGCCTCCAGCCCATGGCCGCCCTCTGCACCGTACTTGAATGGTTCTTCATGAAGAGTGTGTTAACCTGGCCATCCAAATCCACTGGGATTGCAATACCACGATTTTTGGCTGAAATGAAAAGAATAGAAAAAAATATGGGAAGAATTTCCCTCTCAATTTGGTTAAAGCTTTTAAACATTAGCCAAACACACTAACAAACATGGAAGAAAATTTTCTTTTTTAAGAAAGAAAGAACAAATGCAAGAAAGGCCTAACTCTTTAAACTTTGCCACACCATCGTCTCCCATACTTTCAGGTTAAAAGCTGCTGAAGCTATTTCAGTTCTTCAGGCCAATTAGCAATGTGTGATCACTGCACCTTCAAAATCCCTTTTGATTTCTTGGTGATTAATGTGTGAGATGGACTCATTTCAACATCGATATAAAAAAGCACCTCAACAAGCACACAGATCTTTACCTTCCTAGATGCCAAAGAAAATAAAAACTCAGACAGAAAACACACAGCCAAATCCTTCCAAGCTGTTAACTTCATTAAAGGGTGTACCTGTATGTTTACATGTGTATGTGTGTGTGCCCACAAAACTACATATGATCAAACACCTGACAGCAGAAATAGTGAAAAAGTTAAAAGGTATCTTTAAAAAACCTTCCTGGGAAGGTGGTACATGGAGCCTGTCTTTTTTCCTTAAGACCCACGGACATATGCATCATAACAGATTTATGTAGCCATAATATTGAGCAATGACTATGCTCCTTGTCAAGAGGAAAATGGAAGTGTTGCAGCATTCCTACCAGAGTAAAGCAGTAACTACACCATTGGAGAAAAACTGACCCATGAACGATTGGACTTGGTACAGGTCTACCCAGTGGCCTTGGCTACACTGGGAACTACACTGGTATCATCTGAGCTACTCAAGAAGCAACCTGAATCATGGGAGAAGAAGGTCCTCCTCCCTCTGACTAGCAAACTCAAAAGTCTGATGCAGCTGTTTTCACCCAGAGGAAAAAGTTGGAGAAGCATAAAAACTCCTCTCAAGAAAGAAGGTTCTGTGACTGTAGAGTGTCAACAGTGAAGACTTGCAGAGAAGGATTCTGACTGTAGAGTGTCAACGGTGAAGACTTGCAGAGAAGGATTCTGACTGTAGAGTGTCAATGGTGAAGACTTGCAGAGAAGCAGAACAGAGCTTGACATGACTGCAAAGACCATAAGATGAAGAGTACGTGGAGAGGCACATGGGGGTAGGCCCAGCACAGGAGGAAATGCATGGAGATTCCAGCCAGCAAGAAAATCCCCCTAACACTCACTGCTGTTCCCTGTCTGTCTCACAAATGCACACACATGTGCACACACATGTACATGTACACACAATACACAGATGCGTGCACACAAAGGGAAGGTTCCTATGTCATCTGCCCAGCCCTTCTCATAGAATTCCAGGTCAACCTTTCTTACTTCTGCAAGGCTTACAGGCCAGGAATAGACCTTCCAAACTGCCAGCCCCCTGTGTCAGTCATTACCCATGACCACACAAAGACCCAGGGATGACAAATAAAACCATTAGCACCAAGAACAATGACCTCAACTGAAAACAAATGTTCCACGGACAAATAAGCAATATTTAATTCTAATTATTGTCCATACAAACTTTGAGTAGACACCACACCTAAAAACGCTTAAAGAGAGGGAAAAACGATCTTGGAAATTAAATCATGACTCTAAAAATAAACCTTTCAAAGATTAAATGAAAAGGATGAGAACAAAAGTGGTGAGCTGGAAAAAGGAAGCCAATGAATCACCTAGAACACAAAACATAAAAGAATAAATGGGGAAATAAAGAGGTTGTGAAATAGGGAGGGCCAATACAGGAAGATACAGACCTGACGAATGAAAGTTATAAAAGGCAGTAAATGACACATTGGTTATAAAAAATTAAGAAAATAATGAGGGTCTGGAGGGATGGCTCAGTGATTAAGAGCCCTGGCTGCTCTTGCTGGCTGGGGTTTGGTTCCCAGCACCCACATTGCAGTTTACAACTGCCTGTAACTCCAGTTCCTGTGGATCTGATGCCCTCTTATGGCCACTCAAGGCACTGCATGCCTGGGATGCACATACAGAGAAGCAGATACACATCTGTACACATAACAAATCAAAATAAACATTTTTAAAGAGAAATTTCTTGTGTCTGGAGCAGGGCGTCAAGTCTCTGAATAAAGGACACAGTGGTTGTGAATGAGATTAAATAAGCACAGAGCTTTACATTCTGGTGAAACTGTGGAATGTTGTCAAGCTGAACTACATTTTCCAAAGCAAACCTTGATGTCTGAGTTGTCAGCACCTGGAAATGTGGCCTGATTTGGTTACACGTGTCATCAAGATGGAGGTCATCCTGAATTAGGCTCTGCTCTAGTCCACATTGACTGTTCCATATCAGAGAATAAAGGGGGGCACAGAGGGAGAAACACCATGTAAAGGTGGAAGAGAGACAGGTTACGAGCTACAAGCCAATGGTGCCAACAGCTGTCAGCAAATAGCATAGCTAACAGAAAGGTCAGAGCCAGTCAGTTCCTGGAGCTGCCACCAACACCTGACTGTGTAGAGAGCTTGGTGCCACCAACACCTGACTGTGAGACTATGACCCTCCAGAAGTGTAACCCACATGTCTCTATGGAGCAACTGAGAATGGCAACTTGTGATGGAACAAATGAATTCAAAGCCAGGTGAGCACAAAAAGCCTAAGAGTGCTAAGAGAGAAGAGAGATGCCTGCAAAGATCAAGCTGGAAGCTGAATTCCTGTCTGCAGGGCTGGATGCTGGAAGGGTAGAGTGGACCACCTGCCCGTGTAAAGATGGAGTGACCGCCTGCCCGTGGAAGAATGGAATGGACCGCCTGCCGACGGACAAAAGGTTTTGACAGCAGTAACCTGTACAAAATTTAACTGAAACTCAAATGCCATCCCCCAATAAGAACATTCCAGAACAGATGCCTGAGAAACTTTTCTCTGAAACTCCTGTGCACAGATTATATAAAACAAAAGAGAGAAAAGAATCCAAGACAGTGTCAAATGAATAGCAGAAACTATGGCAACTCAGTCTGAGCTTGAGTAGGAGAACAGGGCTAGGAACAAACAAAAGATGATTTCTCATGATGTGTACAGCCTAGAGCCCCCTCCATCGAAAAAAGTTTAGTCCCATAGACCTCATTTTTGTTGCAAATAGTTACACATTTACACATCACAATTTATAAGGTCCAATGCAGAAGAATTAATTATATTCCAAAATGGAACACAAATCACAGACATGGAAGCCAGTACTACATCCAACAAGAAGCAGGGAGAAAAGGAGTGTAGAGGCAGGATGGGGCTTCCTTATGACGTCATGGAGCTGTTCAGTCAAGAAACACACACCCACAGACCCTGTCAGAGTTGGTGACAGGCACCAGAAGATGTGTTCTCAATCTAAAGATAGGAAGAAAGAACGTGAAAGAGAAGGAGGGACAGACAGAGGAAAGGGGGAGGGGAGGAGGAAAAGAAGATGGAAGGTGAAGAAAGATAAGGGAAGGGGAAGGAAAGAGGGGAGAATAGGGAGACAGAGGCTATAGACAGAAGGGGAGCAAGACAGAGAAAGGGGAGGGGGAGAGAAGTGAGAGGAGAGGGAGGAGGGGCGGGATAGAAGAGAGGACCCAGTGAGGAAAGAGGGGTGAGGAAGAGATGGGGAAGGGTAGCCTGGAAAAGAGAGAGAGAGACAAAACCAGACTTTCCTGCACACAGTGAGGAAAATACTAGACCAGACTGTTCTGCTGATGAAAATTCCCCACCAGAAAGCACAACTGAACACCTCTTTAAAACAAGTGATTTCTGCTGCCAACACAGAGCCTGGAACCAACTGAAATACAAGTCCCAGCTGAAGGCTTCAGAACGCAGGCAGCTGGGAACAGCCCCCTGACCTAGAGCCCTGCTGCCCAGATCCTAAAACAGACTCCTGCTGCCCCTGACCAATTTCCCTTTGAAGCAAGCAGTGTCTGTGCACATCCCTTACGCACCCACGCCGCACCGAGGCGCCCTGAAGGACAGGCAGCCTCCACACTGCTGAGCAACGCATGGTTTTATAGACTCTTAATCTTCCTCCACGGCCAAACTGAGACTTCTGTTCTTTACCGGCTGTCTCCCACATGAGCAGCATTTGCTTTGAACGTCCTGAACACAGGACGGTGCTGCTTCAGGGTCACTGCCCAACCAGTCCTAGAGCTCTTCACTGTCCTCACAACATACTACAAACAGTTGTCACCTCTGCTCAAGCCACACACTTATGGTCCCGGCATGAGCCGGATGCTTCAGGTGGCAGCCACAGTCAAAGGACAGTTTGAGAACACAGCAGGTAGGGCTGGAGAAGTGGCCGGGTGGTCACGTGTACATATTTCCAGAGGATCTGAGTTCACTTCTCAGAGCCGTGTTGTCTTCTTCTGGCCTCTGTGGTCTGCACACATGTGCACAGACCCACACGCAAGACACACATAGATACACACGATTTAAAACAACAATAATAAAATGGTTTTTAAATAGTGTGACATGAGGGAAACGCTGGAGGAATAATTTCTGATGACGAGCATGGGAATTTATTCAGTGATGAGCCCTAGTCTCCTGTGTGAGTGGTTGCACACGGCAATGTATGTCCACCCGTGATCCACCTATGAGCTGCTGTTCCACTATGGTGGCACACGGAGAGATAGCAGAACAAACTCCACCATCCTAAAGTGTCAGGTTTTTCTGCTCCCCAATCTATACAACTATTGTTGACCTGGTGTCCTATCTTGGCGTGCACTGCAGAGTATGAATTCCAGGTAAAATAGGAACTTTCCCAGGCTGAGATGTAAACTGTAGCCTATGGTTACATCATGACTTTGAAGCCATAAAAGAAGATTAACTCTGCGTCTGAGCAGAATGCATTTGAGTTAAAATAAGGTAAGTGTTCACACAACAATGAACAAACATTGTAAGGGTTGGGAACACATCTCTGTGGTAGGACACGTGCCCAGCATGCACGAAGCTCTTGGTTCACTTCCCAGTACCTCATGACAACAACAAATTAAACTAAAAATAAACAAACTCTACA